GATAACGTTACTTCACTGGGAGCCAACGGGCGTTTTGCACACTTTGACATCGCTGCGAGTTAAGACCGAGTAAATCGTTACATCTTGGATCTACGAAAGACTTGCAAAATCTCTGGCTTCCTGTAGAGTGTTCCAAATGATTGCAAGCATAAGTGGTGACTTATTGCATCTTACCAGCCGGTAGGAAAGGCAGTGCTGTCTGATTATTCTGCTGTTTCATTTTCTAGATGGAAAGAGAATCTAACCCTGACCAACCTGCACTTTTCTGAACTCCCTGAAACCATGGCCTGTAACTATTCCACGTCTCATAAACATAAGCTTCCCTTTAATCTCCAACGTGTACTGCCCGTAGCCTCTTCCCCCGGGGTACTGATTCTTCCTCCTCTCGTACACTCTTCTCTCTCCCCCCCCCCCTTTACTTTGTCCTCTCCTTGCCTTCACACATATTTCGCCTCGCTCTTCTGTTCATCACCCTGCATTTGCAGCTGCCCTACGTCTGCCGGTAGGTCATTTCGCTCGGCCTCCTCTCGTGAGCTGCTCGCAGGCATCTCTGGGGTTTGCTGCACCGTCAGCCACCCTCCTCCCGTAGGTTCTCATGCTCTTCCCCACCCTGCAACCGTTCCCGCCCACATCGTCATTCCCATCGTTCCTCCGCTGCTCCGAGCACCTACTAAAGCTTCGCCACTCGTGATGACCATTTCACCTCCCTCCTCTGTTACTGTCGCTGCCCCCACAACTCTGCATAAACACGTCCTCCACTTATCGCTTGGCTCCCTTCCCAATTACCACACTTTATGATCATTTTCAGCTGCCACTGCGCTGTTCTGTAGTGCCTCCCACCACCGCTCCGCCACTCTGCCCGGTCGCCCTGCCTGTGGCCGCTCCCAGCGCGCTCCGCCGCTCTGCCGCGCCTGTCGGGCGCTTCCGGGCCGGCAGGCCGGGTCCGCGGGCGGCCGACACGCAAAAAGGCTGGCCGCTCGCACAATGGGAGCGGTCGCGCGGCGGCGAGCGCGGCGGAGCGGCACGGCCGGACCGGGACCGCCTGTGCGGGGATGCACGCTGGGACAGCCAGGACGGGTTAGGACACTGGGCAGCCGGAACAGGGTGGGACACCGCGACAGCCGGGACAGGGTGGGACACCGGGACAGCCGGGACAGGGTGGGACACTGGGACAGCCGGGACAGGGTGCGGCGTGATGCAGGACGAGGCGGGACTGGAACGTCAAGAGGAGTGGGGGCGAGACATCGGAATAGTAGACTAGGGATTCTCGGACTGGACAGGACGGCACAGCGGAACAAGTTGGATCGGAACGAGTAAAAAAGAAAGGTAAACTGCACTAGACTGAACTAACTCACCATTTTATTTTATTTTTTGTCTGCATAAGGATGGTTGCATAAGGATGGTATGATCCATTCCGACTTCTGCTTGCACTTGAGGAGCACAGCAGGGCTAATAACTGTTGTGCGGCTCTTGAACCGCCACAGAACGCCCGCGGGGACCGCGACCTTCACAACCCTCACAACATGCTAAGAGTGGACCAGGACGACGTGGACATGGGCTCGATAGGTCTGGAGTGGCCAGGGTGCACCGGAAGATGGGGGGGGGGGGGGGAGCGGGCGAGGCGGGTGCCAGTCGCACAGGGGGCTGAGGTTCGACACAACGACTGTATCATATGCAGCTTTTATAGCTCCTCTTACATGCGGGATGGCGTGGGTTTGACGGTAGAACAGCACAATGCCAATGCGATGCAGCTTTGAAACCGACGACAGATGTGCTGCCACGACAAAGACATCCCAAGGTGAACGAGCCCAGTGCATGTGTAATTATGTCGCATGTACCACCTACAACGCAGGTATACGTGGAACGTTCCGTTCCATGTAAACGCATTCGTATCCATTCCGCGTACATCACGATCGCGTTCTTCACCACATGGGCTCTGCAGCGAATACCTCAGCACAACAGAAAACAAGACTCAATGATTACGTTGCGGTTTCAAAACAAGACTCGTGAGTGGATTCATTGTGACTCCAGTGCTACTCCTGAGTGGTGTGATCGGCATACCCTCTCGCCATTCACTCTCGCCCTCTCTACCGACCAACCACTTCTGCGCTCCGCGCGCTCGCGGCCGACTGTTGACTTGAGCTCGCCGTCCCGGCCGGTCGGGCGCCGGCACTGGCGCGCTCCGGCCGGCGTGGGACGGGGCTGGCCCAACTTCCGGGCGCGTCGGCCGGCCCGGGATCCAGGTCAGCCGGGCGGGCACGAGATGACACGGGGTCAGAGGTCAGAGGCTCGGACGGCGCGGCCCAACTGTCCGCGGCGGGCGTGCTGCCCGGTCCGATGAAGCCCTCCGTGGCGCGCGCGGAGCTCCGGCTGCGGGCGTTAGCCGACACGCCCGCGAAACAGCTGGCATCCGCAGAACGCGCTGTCTGTAATGTTTTCGCGAAGATTTTCGGCGACGCGCCTCCGCTCCGCCACCCGCGCGCCGCTCCTGCCCGTATCCCCGGCGTGGCTGGTGACCCCACGCGTGCCTTTCAGACGTGATGCATGGTGACGCGGCGCTGTTTTTGCCGCCGTGATGCGATTATCTGTGCGCATCGATCCCGCGGTGTTTACGCGGCGCGAGCCGACAACAAGACGGAGTGGCGTGCTCGGTAGGTGTGGTGCCCCGCTGTCCGGCCGCCCCCGCCCGGCCGCTGGCGGCGAGCGCCGCGCGCCGACACCGCACGCCGACACCGCGCCGACACCGCTGGCCGTGTTCCACCGGTGGTCACGCTCGCGATCGCGGCGTAATCGGCGCGCCGGCGCATTGTTTTACTGCGGCGGCCGGCGGCGCGGCCGGCGATGGTAACGGCGCGCCCGGGCAAGTGCGCCGCGAACGCCGCTGAGGCGCCGAAGCGCCGGCCGCGCCGACGGAACAGGGCCGAGCCGCCTGGGTGCTCGTTGCCGGATGCTGTTCTCTGGGTGGGGGTGGACGCGGCTTCTGGGTCATCCCGGCTTCGGTTTGAGGCCGGATGAACGCCATTGGTCGGTGAGGCGGAGGTCAGTCGCTGTGTGTTTTATTGTCTGGATGGGCTGCACCACCCATCACAAGTCATAAAGACGCCCTGGTAGGCTTCCTGGCTGTATTGCACCGCCGTTGGCACAGGTTTCACCCACGCATATTTGTTTTCCGACAGTCATTCCGCGGTCTGTGCACCAGTTCACCTCAGGCTCACTGTCGGGCGGGGGCGGCGACCGTGACGGTGAGCGACTGTTGCGACTGTCGCCGCCCGAGCGTTGCCTCAGTGGTTTCAAGACGCGGTCACGAACGGAGTGGAGCGGTTCGAAGCCCTCCTGAGCGGAGTGGAGCGGACCGAAGCCCTCCTGAGCGGAGTGGAGTGGTCCGAAGCCCTCCTTAGCGGAGTGGAGCGGACCGAAGCCCTCCTTCGGGGAGTGGAGGGGTTTGAAGCCCTCCTGAGCGGAGTGGAGTAGTCCGAAGCCCTCCTGAGCGGAGTGGAGCGGACCGAGCCCTCCTGAGCGGAGTGGAGCGGACCGAAGCCCTCCTGAGCGCAGTGAGGTATGCTGGAGCGAGTCGAGCCAGTCCAAAGTGGACTGCAGCGGGTCTAAATTGTCCACACTGGAGTTTGGTGGGCCGATGAAGTCTGGGGCCGGCGGAAGACGTCCAGAGCGAACTAGAGAGGGCCAAAGCCACCCGCGGCGGAAAGGGTGGAGCAGAAATGATCAAAAACGGATAAAAGCGGCCCAAAATATGGAGCGGTGATTTGAAGCCGACTGAACCTGACTGACTTGTGCTGCCATAATACTGGCCGAAATGTATTGTTAGCCTTTCCGCATTCCGTGGTTGGCCGGCTAGTTGCAGTCTCGGGCTAGCGCCTTGTGGTGCGGTGCAGTCTCCGGAGTGGCCCCTGGTTTAGGAGAGGTTTGTTCTGAACCGGAAATGGCTGTACTAGGCCTCTGGGCCATTCGGAGGGAAACAATAACTTTTCTTCTTCTTGGCTAGCGCGAAATTTTGATAATGGAATCGACCTACTCAAAGGGGTCATCGGAAGCACTGGAATGAGCTGAAATGCAACCTTGAAATCCGACCAACAACGCTACGTGACATGATCTTTGCTTTCCGAGAAAGCACATATGCAGAGATACTGCAGCTAATGGTGCCTTGTGCGTGCAAAAGATAGTCCACATTACATTGAGCCTGCATGCCTGTAAGTTTTGCAAGATGATATGACAAGAAGCCGCGTCCTGATTGTACGACATCCTGGTTCACACATCACAGCAGGCGAACATTAAGTCCGCGATTACGTCTTTAATTTTTCGCAGGTGACGTCATGTAAGTGACGTCAACCTGATGGGTGGTAGCCGCAAGGTGATGCGCCCTTTGCGGAGGAGCTCGGCGTGTCGTGACGTCATCTCTGATTTGGATCTTCTCAGGTCGTTTCGTCAAGCTCTGACATTTCCCAAGAAATGAATGCTGCATTCAACCATCACTAGCTCAGTGAGGGGTTACCATCTCCTCCATCATGTCATCACAACGCAGCCACCACTCCGTCTTCCCATTTTGGTACCCACTCCACTCCATTTCTCTGAAAATCGGCCGACCCGAGCTGAAGTCATGACACACCTTTCTCCTCCCAGCGCTCGCATGACCCTGCAGGTCACGCCGTAAAGACGCTACGAAATGCCGTCCGAGCGCGCCGCCTTGCGTGTCGCAAGACTGCCACCGGGCGGCACAATCGCGCCCCTTCCCCGGCCACCCAGCGTGCTCGCCCGCTGGCCCCTCGCCGCGGCAGATCGCTCAGCGACGGCACTGTCTCCGCAGACCTTCCGCGGCCTCGCCTCCGCGGTCAGCCGCGCGGCGGGGGCGGCTAGGCCGCCGGTGACGTCACTAGTCGCGGGCGGGTGACGTCACCCGTCTGGAGGCGGCGGCCGGCGGCCGGCGCGACCCGCCGGCACTCGACAGTCGTCGCCGGTGGGCGGAGGAGTGCGCGGGGGTGGCGGTGACCTCTGGTGACCCGGTCGCGTCGCCGGAGTCATGACCATGCTGTGGGTCAATAGCAGCGGCGAGATGACTGTGGTGCGCAGCTACAACAACGAGCGCATGTTCTACGCGTGCAACCCGAACGTGACTGTCAGCAGGAAGCCTAGTCTGCGCATCCAGGTGCTGCAGGTACGCTATGGCGAGGGAAGGAGTCGCGCTCCTGACAGGTCAACCTGTGGTGTGTCACCGAGGCTGAAGCCGCAGACAGAACCCCCGCGTGTGGGCTTTGACCGGTGGGGACATTTGGCTGTTGGTAGCGCAGGACTGTGTGGAGGATATGAAGCGACGTATGACTAGTTTCCATTGAAATTTAATCTTAAGCTCGATTGCATCCTTTCAGTGAGAAATTCGGGCATGTGAAACCCAGGATGACAAGCATCAGCCGTTGTCAGAACAGAGAGAACATGCGATTGGGCCACAGATTTTGCGGCATAGAGCATTCGTGTGATGTGCTGTCATTGGTAGTACCGAATGAAATGAGGGCCGAAAATCTACGCATTGCTTTACCGATGTTAACGAGATCCAGTCTTGATAGAATATTGCTATGTGTTCCATGAGCCTGACAAATTACACTTTTCTGACATTGGAAGCAAAATCGTTTGCCATGGCTTTGTTTGACTTGGATTCGGCGGAATAATGGCCATCTTCATGAGACCTCTGTCATCCCACCTGTTGGCTACTGGACAGACAAAGCAGTCTGACAAAGCCGTCACGACACGGCAAAGGAGTCTGAATGGACTCTAAGGTGAACAACCCAATATGAATGCTGTCTGGCAGTCAATTAGCCATGGCTGCCGCGTACCTCGCATGCAGAAGGGATTGTTTCCAGCTGGTGCCTTGTCAATGACCTGCGGTGCTATGCAGCGGGGTACGCTTGATGTTTTTGGCCTGTAGAAACAATAAGGGGAGTATGTTAAGCAATTATGCTGTAGGCACGCCTTGCTATCAAGGCAATCATAAATGCGGTCGTAACTGTCACAGTCCGAGCTTATAAGTGGCTGTTCAGTCCGAACAGTTTACATGTGATGCAGATTGATTCACAGCGCTTCCAAAATCAGAGCTTTCAACGTTGTGCTGTCGTGCCGCATTCATGATTCGTTTTTGTCGGCCCTCTTGGTCGGTGTCGCTGTGGAGCAACACTCTTGTGACGTCACGAGTCGTCGCCGACGTGTATAATTGCACGCCCTACATGTATATAAATGGACATTAAGGCTCCGTTCTTTGCTTCCCCTTTGTTGGCGTAAACGGGTCGTAACCCGTCTCGCACGCGCACGCCCAGCTCGTGCGGCGACGTCCTGTCGCAGAACTGGCCTGGATCTGAACAGAAGTGGAGCGCCTGCACCCCGCCTTTCAGCGTCAATATGTAGGGGAATCATGTCTGCAAGGGGGTCAGAAGAGCCCTCTCGTGCAGCACAATGTACTCAGTACGGCTCCCAGCGGAAGACAAAGCAGTTAAGGCTCCCAGCGGACGGCAGTTGACTCGGACTTTCTTCGGCTCCCAACAGGGAAGGGTAATGATACAGGGATGGAGACCGGGGGTGTAACGAGGACTGTTCTGAGCGTTTTATAAAAACTTCATTCACCCCCTGAAAAGGCACGTTAGCATTTTTTCCACACCAACGGTTTGGTCCCGGCTTGCTGAGACGTAACCCACTACCGCTTGCACGGGCGCCGTTACGCCCTGCTGCATGTTGTAGTGCCGGTCTCCCGTGCAGCTGATCCCTCCCCGGCTGGAAGGGTGACGTTCGTGGCGTGCGGTGGCGCCGTGTTCAGCGCCGCTGCCGTGACGCGGGAGCCGCCCTTCTGCTTCACTATCAGATGCAATCTGTGCTGGTGGATTCAGCGCGAAAGCACTCCCTGGTTACATTCCTCAAATCGAAACGACGAGTTGCCGCCTCTTCTCTGGGTGCCGCTCCAGGCCGCTCTCCGTCCCCGCCTTGCGCCTCCCCATCCACTCTTCAGTACCTTGACATCCGAGTTTTCGACGGTGTGTGGGAGTTAGTGGCTGGAGCTGCCTTGCCTGTTAAGGGCGAACAGAATTTATGATGTTCCTAGATGTGGAACTACAGGGCTTTCCGTCTTCGCCCAGAATACATGCCTCAATTCATCACCAGGCCGTAGCATGGGAGTAGCCATTCAGGAGGAGCCGCGTGTTACGGTTACGTTTATCGGAATGGATCATGTCAGGCGGGCTGTACCTCGGATGGGGCAAATGAGAAGCGACCATGCGCCCAGGGCCTTATTCGGCCACGTCATGCATAGGGCAGGGGGCAGACCTGCGGAATGTCAACATAAGATCAAGGCGTGCAATCGCCTTGCAGAGGGCGTCATAACAATGTCTCATGTTCCGTGGTCAGCCTCGGTAAATTTGTTACAATTGGAAGCTGATTATTCTGACTACTCCGCTCGTTAAAGCACTAGGTGGACTGTCTCCCCCTCCCCTCCCCTCACCGGCATCAAAGCGTCGGTCCTTTCCCTATGCAACCGATGTCATGAAGAATGAAACGTCGTCTGTCATGTCGAAGCCATTCTTACATTTCTTTTCATCAAAATATACAGTAGGCCAACCTGTCGACGTCAGTCTCGTCTTTTGCTCGGCAAGCCAAGGGTCAACGTTTGCTTTGTAGAAGCCTCCTGGACCTTTTCTCCACCCTGAATTTATTTTATGGTCCAGCGAGTCAAATGCCGTACTTTTCACAGCAACCCGAAGCCTTGGACGCGTTTTGCGAACACAACGGAACGCATTGTGCGGACGAGCCCGGCGTTTGTACTCGCCACAGTCTCGGTCGATCGGCGCCGCGCTCCTGCTGGCCCAGATTCCCCCGTCGCGTCGGTGGCGCCATCTTCCGCTCGTCCCCTCCCACGCATCAGCGCCCGCCCCGTGTGTCCTCGGCGAGCGGTCAGGCTCGAGCGAATCAGCCGTTCCCCTCTTGAGCAGCGCTCATCGCTGAGTTATTTCGTGCGGTGCGCAAATACTCAGGGTATTAGCATCGCCCTACTTTTTGAGGCCGGAGTGCTGTAAAAGTTCCCGCGAGGAGAATCGAGCCCGGACGTCTGCCGAACGCCAGGCGCTTGATCCACGCGGCAACTTACGCTGCCACGTCTCTGCTGCAGGCGGAGCTGAGGGGAGTTCTGCTGAAGAGACGCGGCGATGATTCTGATGACGACCCCGGGCTGCCGCACTCGCCGGCCACCCCGCCCAACGCCGCCCGTCTCCAGCAGGAGCTCAAGGTGGGCGTGACACAAGGTCATGCGGACCACCCAGCACGTGGGGTGACCTGGGACCTCATGGCGGCATGGCATGTCTGGTGGCCTTGGACCCGATGTTCAACCTTCGGGTGACCTGGGATCTAATGATGGCATGGCATGTCTGGTGGCCTGGGACCCAATGTTCAACCTTCGGGTGACCTGGGATCTAATGATGGCATGGCTTGCCTGGTGACGGAGACCGCATGGTACACCGGGTCCTCCTGGTGACCTGAACCTTCTGATGACCTGGTACATCCTGGTGACCTGGAATCTGCTGGTTTGATGATATCTCCAAGTGACTTGGGATTCCGTGGCGATCGGAGACCATGTGGTGGCGGTGAAGAAAGGGTTCGCACACTGGTGCAACATGTACCTGATTGGTGAACCTGTGTCTGATGATAACCTGGGGCCTCATGAGAACCTGACACACCCAGGCAATCTAGTGCCGGGGCAGGGCCGGGGCAGATCATCTGTACTGAGTGGCGACCATTACGGGGCCAGTGTCAGTTAATGTCACGGGCAGGGTAGCTGTGACGTGGCGCCGCGCTCGAGTCAAGGGAGTGCTCCACATTTAAACACATTGAAGCAGGGCGTCAGATATGATGAAATGAACTCGCTTATAACTATCGGTACACTTGTAAGTGGAAAAGGCCTCTTCAGACAACAGAGTTTATTTTGTTTATTAAATATGCTCCTCAATACGTCATCGTTTGATAACATCATCGTACCTTGCACAACACTGATTGAGAGCCAGTTAACTGCCGTTCTATATGGAAATTATGCCCACAAAGGCCAGACATGAACGCCGCGACACTTATACTTTTCGTGGCCTTGATTGCTGCACGGCTAATGGAATGGCAGGATTTGAATGACGTCATTGTGGTGTCGTGGATGCCCGGGTGACCTTGTAATAGTCTTTCCGAACTAGTTTGCGTATCTTATCGGGCGTGTAGCGCAGAAACTAACGGGGCTCTGGTCTTGGGGCAGGTCGGTGAACTGCACCAAATTATCTTTAAGACGGCTTTTTAGTTCAAAACCCTATACAACTGTGGAACACTTCCTTTCAAGCCAGGCCATATCTATGAAGTGATAACCTGGCTCTGCGGCCCCGCCCGTGGTTGTCAGGTGACATAAACACCTCAGCACGATTTCTTTCGCGCACCATATTCCATTACTATCTGACCATCGTTCGCTTTCTGCGTTGAATGTTGAACCCAATCATTTTGGGGTGAATCAAGGAAAACCACACAATTTAGGTTTTTTCCGCAGCATTTTAATGCTCTCGAAACAGGACGGCATCGCTCTGTCTGCTGCTAATAACTCTGGAGTAAAAGTGAAACGTTTTCCGGCCGTCGTCATTTGTTTCCATTGTTGGTTGTTTTCTCCCAATCTAAACCTTGATGTAAAAGCTGGAGCCCACAGCGCCACGCTGTATGATTTTAGGACTATCCATCTGCAGTGAACGGCTTCTGGTTCATCACGCATGAGCGAGATGAGCAAGATGGGGAGAAGCCGTTTGCTTAATAACATTTTACTATTATTTACGAAAGATACGCCGTGCCGATTTCATTTCTTTATTGTTCGGACAGCTGTTATCGTTGAAAAATGAACACTGCATCCACTTGAAGGTGTGCTTGGGCTGGCGTTACACGCAAACCAATGCGGTTTTTGTGGTCAGACCCGTTGGCAATAAATAATGATCGACCATATCGGATGTCGTCCCCAAACATGGCAATTATCTATTATTTATCATGTCGACGCATTTTCAACTCAACAACCTCAACAACAATACGCAACAGCAACTCAACTGATTGGAGAAGATCACTCCCACTAGGATACCTTCGTTGTCTGAGGCAACACCGCGTGATACACATGCAGGAGACAGTGATCATCTCGTTTGCCACAATGTCCTCCGTCCAGATTGCACCTGACTCCTCTATGCCGGAGGTGGCTCTCGAATAAACGTACGCACCTGGGTCAGCGTATGTAAATGCCAATATTTCCCCCCTGGCATTACTAGTCAGCTGTGGCGTCTGAATCCACATTCTCTTGGGCGGTTTATATGTCCAATGGGCTGGCCATTTATCGAGACACCCCTGTCCGTGCCCATGCCCGCTGCTGTACCGGCCGCCCCGCTCCCACCCCCGCTCCGGACCGGCGACCCGCAACCCGGTCCGGCGGTGCCGCGACACGGAGCAGCCCCCGGCGACGGCGGCTGTGGCGCTGCGAGGCGTCGGTGGCGCGTGTCGCCTCTCGACGCCAGCCGAGCGGCACGCTCTCTCAGTCCGCCGACCGGCCGGCAGAGAAACCAAGCACACATCGGCCGGCCGGCAGTCAGCCGCGGGTCGCCAACCGGGCGGCCGGCGTCCCGGAGGCCGAGGCGTGCGGCCTCAGGCGGCACGGGCAGGGAGGGCACGGGGCAGAGCAACGCCATCGGAATCAGAGGAGCGACGCGATGGTCGCGGACCGCGGTCCCGACTTCCCTGGGAAAGACGCGAGACTGGGCAACGTCGGCGTCGGCTGCATTCTGGGTCTAACCTCTGAACCCCTGGCCCCTGAAGGCACTGGGTAGGGTTTCGAGGCAGTTACCCACCATCGGTGAGTCCGCCGAAGACCCAGCTCCTGACAGCGCTGTAGAGAGGATCGGTGGCAGAACCCGCTGTCCGTTAGCCTGACGTCAGCCGGTGCCACACATTATGGCTGACGTGCTCTTGAGCCCGTCAGTCGCTGTGGTCGACGTTTGCGGCCGAGTCAGGCTCGGCGCTGGCACTGGAACAGATCGGCGATCCCCTCTGCCAGTCCGTCCAGTCCTGACGCCGCCGGGACAGGCGCGCGGCCCGACTGGTCTGGTCTCTCGCGGCGTCGGTGGTGTTCGTGCCGGTAACCATTTGGTGCTCTGGGCATGACGGTGCCGTCGTGAGAAAGATGGTGACCATGTGGCTCACGGGGACCGCGTTATGTCCCGGGCACACGGACACGGGCATGTAGAGGGCATTGATGTGAAAGCTATGTTTGCAGGCAGGCAACTTCTTGTCGGCGCTAACCCACTCAGCCCACACGTTGTTCCCTGAGTCGTAAACTTGGGTCTAACGAGACCCACTTGCACGGTACCACGCTTCAGTGCGACAGGGGAGGAATGACCTGGTCCACTTTGATCTGACTCAGTGCGTCCTATGGCCGGCTGTTCTGAATGGGCATTACAGTGATGTACTATAAAGCTGGGCTGCTGCTCGTATTGTAGGGTCTCTTTTATCTCGATGCAAGCCATAATTACAGCGGTACCAAACCTTCCGGTGAAAACACTTGCCATGTACGCTCCGCGTACATGGGAAGTGTTGAGGTGATGTGTCCCGATGGCTGTACGCGGGGTGATCCGCTGCATGGCAAGTGTTAAGGTGATGGGTCCCGATGGCTGTATGCGGGGTGATCCGCTGCATGGCAAGTGTTAATGTGATGGGTCCCGATGGCTGTACGCGGGGTGATCCGCTGCATGGCAAGTGTTGAAGTGGTGGGTCCCAATGGCTGTACGCGGAGTGATCCGCTGCATGGGAAGTGTTAAAGTGGTGGGTCCCGATGGCTGTACGCGGAGTGATCCGCTGCATGGAAGTGTTAAAGTGGTGGGTCCCGATGGCTGTACGCGGGGTGATCCGCTGCCCGGTCCGTAGGCTTGTCTCGAGTCCGGCCAGGCGGGCTTTACTGCGTAACTGCTCAGTTGTTTGATGGCCGTTTGATTTCCGGGCCAGCTCACGACTCTGGCCCAGCGGAGTGTGGCGATGGGTCGCTCCTCTCTATCCTCAGATAGCCCACGACTCTTGCCAGCTGAGTGAGGCGATGGGCCGCTCCTCTCGATCCTCAAATATCACATGGCCATCGAGCTGTCGGCTTCTTGGGATGTAACTGCGTCCTGCACACAGCAGACGGATCGTGATGGGTGAAATAGCAATTATATGTAAGCTTTCTCTTTGCTTTATTTTGGCACACCTGCCAAAGAACCAAAATACAGCCCGTTTTATTTCGTACATAATACTCCTCTAACGCAGTGGCACGGCGCCCCCTCGACCCTTACTAGGGTTTCCTGAGACATCACGGCGAACGTAGTTCTAAACATGCTTATTTCAAGCATATCATATGCTATACCTCGGACTGAATTTTCTTTCAGTTATTGTGAGGAAGACTAAAATGTAAGCGGTGTTGTTGGCACACGAGGTTTCACGCGGAATGTTATGCATAAAATTGTGATAGTTTTTTGCCGTTCCAACAGATCAGTCTTACTCTTTAAATCTTTTACCTATATTAATTTTTCAAACTGCTTGAAATAGTCACATGTATAGCAAATGTTTTCCGCGATCTGCAACATCGAAATCAAGATACCTTGCCGTCGACCACAACCCTTGTTTGACCCAGTATTCGTCGGTCAATAACACTTTAATACGGAGCTGCATTTAGTCATGGCCATCGGTTAACTAGACCCCATCTAATCGGCTATCCTCCACCCGGACGCGTGAGCGCGGTCGCGAGCTGACCACCGAACGGGCTGGGGCACTCTCGCCACGCCACCTTAAGCCAGCTGACGTCACGCCGCTGGAGGAGACAGAGTGGTCACCGAGCCAGCTGACGTCACGCCGCTGGGGAGACAGAGTGGTCACCGAGCCAGCTGACGTCACGCGCTGGGGGAGACAGAGTGGTCACCGAGCCAGCTGACGTCACGCCGCTGGGGAGACAGAGTGGTCACCGAGCCAGCTGACGTCACGCGCTGGAGAGACAGAGTGGTCACCGAGCCAGCTGACGTCACGCCGCTGGGGAGACAGAGTGGTCACCGAGCCAGCTGACGTCACGCGCTGGAGGAGACAGAGTGGTCACCGAGCCAGCTGACGTCACGCCGCTGGGGGAGACAGAGTGGTCACCGAGCCAGCTGACGTCACGCGCTGGAGGAGACAAAGTGGTCACCGAGCCAGCTGACGTCACGCCGCTGGGGAGACGAGTGGTCACCGACCAGCTGACGTCACGCGCCTGGGGAAGACAGAGTGGTCACCGAACCAGCTGACGTCACGCCGCTGGGGGAACAGAGTGGTCACCGAGCCAGCTGACGTCACGCCGCTGGGGAGACAGTGTGGTCACCGAGCCAGCTGACGTCACGCCGCTGGGGGAGACAGAGTGGTCACCGAGCCAGCTGACGTCACGCCGCTGGAGGAGAGAGTGGTCACCGAACACTGACGTCACGCCGCTGGGAGACAGAGTGGTCACCGAGCCAGCTGACGTCACGCCGCTGGGGGAGACAGAGTGGTCACCGAGCCAGCTTCGCCCACGCGCTGGAGGAGACAGAGTGGTCACCGAGCCAGCTGACGTCACGCCGCTGGAGGAGACAGAGTGGTCACCGAGCCAGCTGACGTCACGCCGCTGGGGAGACAAGTGCTCACCGAGCCAGCTGACGTCACGCGGAGGAGACAGAGTGGTCACCGAGCCAGCTGACGTCACGCCGCTGGAGGAGACAGAGTGGTCACCGAGCCAGCTGACGTCACGCCGCTGGAGGAGACAGAGTGGTCACCGAGCCAGCTGACGTCACGCCGCTGGAGGAGACAGAGTGGTCACCGAGCCAGCTGACGTCACGCCGCTGGAGGAGACAGACTGGTCACCGAGCCAGCTGACGTCACGCCGCTGGGGGAGACAGAGTGGTCACCGAGCCAGCTGACGTCACGCCGCTGGGGGAGACAGAGTGGTCACCGAGCCAGCTGACGTCACGCCGCTGAAGGAGACAGAGTAGTCACCGAGCCAGTTGACGTCACGCCGCTGGGGGAGACAGAGCGGTTACCGAGCCAGCTGACGTCACCGCTGGAGGAGACAGAGTGGTCACCGAGCCAGCTGACGTCACGCCGCTGGGAGACGTGGTCACCGAGCCAGTTGACGTCACGCCGCTGGGGGAGACAGAGCGGTTACCGAGCCAGCTGACGTCACGCCGCTGGAGGAGACAAAGCGGTCACCGAGAGAAATGCATCTGGAACACGGACCCCGATTCGCCGTGTGTCGGCCATATGTCCGGTCCAGTGCCTTCTGCCGCTGCCCAGCTGCCGTCCACCGGGCGCATTGTCCGGCGTCTTTCCTGTCGCTGCCGGTTCCGGCCGTTTGGGCACGTGCAGAACGGGCGCTTTTGACGGGTTGACGCATCAAAAGCGACTGTTCTACTGAACCAAACTGTGTCGGTCGAGTCCAACACGCGATGCCCCAGTTCCTTATGTGTAAAAGCTATTGTCTCCCCCGCTGAGATCGCGACGACTACGCCTGTGAGATCTGAAGCTGAGCTCTCGGTCGCCATGTATTGCGCTATGCCTTTGATATGTTGCGGTAAGCCGCCGGCGGTGAGACGTCGCACTCTGCCTGGTATTCACACAGCGATTTCCTGCCGCATGACGTCTCGCGGTGAAGGCAACGGCGACCTGACCGTGACCTCTGGGCCGTCAGGGTCAGAGCGGCAAGTCGGGCGGCTCCTGCAGCGACGGCTCCCTCCTCTCCATGTACAGCTCCGGCACCTGCACAGACGACGACATATTCGGCCCGCTCTCGAAGCACCCGTCCAGGGCGTCCCTGGCCAGAGACCAAGGTGAGCGCGTCCTTTTCACGTCGTCTGAAGCCGCGGGCTGGCGTGCGGGGACAGGGTCACTGGGCATTACGGTCGAAGGGGTGTGTGCTAGGACGCGCCTTCGGCGAGACGTGGAGACTCCGTATCCACCCATCGTCATATACGACGGTGGTCTGGCAGTTAAGTATGCGACATGTCTCCTAAGGCGTAAAATAGACCTATGAATTATGTCAAATAGCCCTTCGAAAGGTTTGCGAGACGGGTTGGGGACCGGAATCAGCGATGTTGATGTCTTAATGTAACGCCGATCTTGGACACGGTAGGTACGACAGCGTTGGTGCGGACTTCAGTAAGAGAGTTTTATCTGTGGTCGGAACACGATGAGGAATAAATGCTTATCTACCGATCATGATGGAGATAGAGCCTGCTCATGAAGTGTACAGGGGGCAATAAGAGGAGTGTCCTCCAAATTGTCGAGTAACCGACGTCTGATTGTCACCGTTCAGTTTTGAGGATATGCACCGATCGCGAATGCAGCAAGCTACATTATGCGCATTCCTAAGCATCGGTTCCCAAATCGAACATATCTTCCTTCGGCCGCTCCACCTCGACCGCTCGCGCCTGGCGGCCGACGCGGCCTTGAAATTCCTCTCACCTTATCAACACCCGCGTGAGACCGCTCCCTCTGACCACCGCACGCCCCTGCACGCCCCCGCCGCCCCCTGACCCCCCCCCCCCCCCGCCACCGGCAGACGCACTGGAGCTGGAGACGACGGCGGCGCTGAGTCACTCGGCTGCAAAACACCGGATCTCCGTGCGGCCTCGGCGGAACCACGGCGCGCCCCGCCAGCACCGGCTGCGGACGCGGCCGCAGACGGCGCCCAGCGCTGCCGGCCTGCCGCCGACCGTGGAGGAGGAGAGCCCGCCGGCCACGCCCACCACCTCGCCCCTCGGTAGGTGGGCGGCACACAGACACGGGCTGCTCTTGCCAGGGGACAGCGGTCTGTGGTCTGTGCGGCACACACAGACGGGCCGCCATTGGCAGGGGACAGTGGTCTGTGGTCTGTGGTCTGGGAATGGCGCTTTGCTGATGGAGACTACGGATTCCATGGTATCATCTTATAGGCTTGTTCTGGTGACCTAAATATGCAGAATTTTGGTCATCGCTATGGGCAGTCCATAATCGATCACTGACAGCGATCCTGTAGCATTGTTTGGGCTGGCGTGGCCGATGCTTGGAAAGGCTGGACTGGATAGAATATATTGAAAACCGACGCCAGCACCCACAGATGTGTCAATTTATAGGAGTTACCGATAGAACTGGACGGTTGCTGGTACCAAGTCGGAACCAAGCTGCGTATTTTTATATGCAATTTTGTGATTCTTCAAAAAGCCCGTCCCATTGGAAGAGCACTCACATGCCTGGAATGGACGGCATTCTGGAGCAAACATTTCCAAACAGCTGCCCTGTACTATTCGCAGGACCTGCCACAGCTACAATCAGTCCGCCCTCCCGCGCCAGCTCCGATCGCCCGTGCCGCACGCCATCTAGCAGTCCGAACCGGAGCGCGTCAATCCGCGCGCCGTCACCGGATGGCGCCACTTCCGTCCCGCGACCCGCACCGGTCAAGCGCTCCAAGTCGAGCGTGGCTGACCGGCGCATGCGCGACATCTCGCCGCGCAAGCTCTGGGGGCGCGAGTCGGCGACCGCCGAGCCAGACGACCGCAAGGCCGAGAGCTTCTTCAGCCGGCTCTTCGGTTCCCGCCGTAGCGGCCGCAAGAAGAAAGACGGCCAGAGCCTGAGCCCAGAGGCGGCGGCGGATGAGCCGGCAGCGCGCCCGCCCGCCGTGCCGCGCGCCCACGCGCCGCGCCACCGGGCCACATTCGGTGGCGACGCTCGGTCGCCGCCGTCAGCGATGCACGCGGACATCATCCGCCCGATGCCGGCGCCGGAGACCGCGCGGCCGGGCGGTGCCGAGCCACCGCGCCCGGCGCTCGGCGAGGTGCCGCGGCCGCCGCCCGAGGCGCTGCGCCGCGGACCCGCCTTCCTCGCCGACGTGCGCGCCGAGGTGCAGGCGCTGGCGTCCGGCGCCGACCGCGGGGACGACTCGGTGACGGTGTCGCCCCAGGTGCTGCGTCGGCACCGCGCGCTAGCAGGTCGCCAGGGCATCGAGTCCCCACGCGTACGGCCCAAGCTGGTGGGGCTGACGTCGTACCAGCAGCGCGTAGCGCACCTACAGGCCACACCCAGCCCGGAGCGCGAGACCAAGCGACGCTCCTTCAGCTGCGAGAACATCAGCGACGACGGCGGCCGGCGCGACTCCTGTTCCGGCATGGCGCTGGGCAGTGTGCTCAATCTGATCAAGTCCACCACCGCCGGCGAGCCGGCCGACCGCGAGGCGCGCCTGTCACAGCCGCCGGCCGAGGCCGACGCCGAGCCGAGGGCGCCGACCGCGCCGACCCGCGCGCCGCGCGCCGTCGGTCGCCGTGACACCGTCGGCTTGTCTGGCGCCGGACCGAAGTCGCTCGACTCGTCGCTGTTCGGTTTGCCTGCCGAGCCGGCGGCTCCGCTCAAGGCCACGTCGGCCGAGAGCGTCTCGAGCGAGGCGCCCGAGCGGAGCGCGCGCCGCTCACCGGACCGGGCGCCGCTCGCCCCGCGCTCGGCGCCGGCGCCCGCGCCCGCCGCCGCCAACCCGCTGCCCGAGTTTATGAAGGTGCACCTGCAGAAGGTGGATGGGCGGCAGGCAAGCTCCGAGCCGGTGGCGACGCGGCCGCGCGAGCTGGCCGGTCCGGCCTCCCCCACCGCGGAGGCGCGGCCGACGCCGCCGAAGCCCGCCGCGTCGGTGCCGCTGTACTCGCCGAGCTGCGAGAAGCGCGCGCCGGCCGCCGAGCGGCGCGAGTTGGCCGAGCGCGAGACGGCCGGGTCGCCGCGCGAAGACTCGCCGCCAGCGCCGCGCCGGCCGATGCCGGCTCCGCGGACTGTGACGCCGGAGCTGGCGCGGCGGCCGCGCGCGCCCGAGGCGGCGCCCGAGCCGGTGGTGCTGCGCAGCAAGCCGGCGCCCACTGAGGACTCGGAGCTGCTCAAGGTGTTCAAACGGCGCTCGCTCAAGAGTCGTGACTCGGAGGAGTGGTTGACGGCGCCCGTCACTGCCGACGCCGACGCCGACGCCGCACTCGATGAGAAGGAGAACGAGAAGCCGCGTGAGGAGACCGAAGAGACGATCGTCTGCGCGTCGGTGCCGGCTGCCGCGCGGGAGACGGACTGCCCGCCGCCCACTGAGCTCGCCGAGCCCGCCCCTGCCCCCACCCCCGCCCGACACCGTAGCGGTGAATCGAGCCCGGTGCGGCTGCGCCGAGGCGAGACGGCGGCCGCGGCTCGCCCGGCGTCCGAGGCGAGCAGCGAGCCGCGCCGCGTCTCCGTCGGGAGACGCGACAGCGGCAGACGGGTCTCGCAGACTGATGGAGACACCGACGGCGAACCGCGCCGCGTCTCCGTCGGGAGACGCGACAGCGGGAGACGGGTCTCGCAGACCGACGGAGACACCGGGGGCGAGTCGCGCCGCGTCTCCATCGGGAGACGCGACAGCGGGAGACGGGTCTCGCAGACGGATGAAGAGGCCGCCAGCACCGTCGGCTGGCTGAAGCAGACTGTGCGTGAGCGTCGTGAGCAGCGTGAGCAGCGCGAGCAGCAGCATCTGCGCACCGTTGGTCAGAAGGAGATCATAATCGAGGTGGGTGGGTGGGAGGAGCCGGGAAAGGATGAAAAACGTCTTTCGATGCTCATGAGGTATCTATTGCGGTTTCTTGTCATTTGTAAATGACGGAAATAAAGGCATTCATAGCATGATTCGCATGACGTGCGTTGAGGTAGATATGTACGATAGTTTTCCTTATAACATTTGCATCTCGACTTCCAATCCTGCCGTTTGCGTTACCAGAAAACGAGTTTTTTGTCTATAAACATTGCTTTTTAGCGATGTCGGTGTGGGGACTGGTTACACCCTGGTGGCTGATGGATGTTTAGGAGCATATGATTTGCAATAGACGTATTTGTTCTCGTATCTGCTATGAACTAACGCCTGGTATTCGTTTCAGCCGGAGGCCGTAGTCGCAGGCAGAGCAGTGACTGCTACCCGCAGCTCGCGTGTTCTCGAGATGGCCAACACCTTCCAAAAGCTGCAAATCACGTGACCTGATTGACGTCAATCAAACATGGCGGGCCTTCACCGTATTGTTGTGAAATCCAAAGACATGCTGTGTTGCTATGCTAACCACGTGTTTAATTTGAGTTTGAGAAGATTGTGTCTTCCGTACCTATCCGCGTCGCTGGCACCGTCGCTTCTACCCAAATACATGCGACCGCTAGCCGCCCAAGTTATAGCAGTTAAGAATGGCGCTTCTTTGCAGATGCATGAGCTCTGAAATTGATTTATGCACGTGAGAATGTATGATGATGCACAAGAGGACAAATATTCTTCTATGTATTTTCGAAGGTTGCCGTGCATTTCTATTTCGTAGCCTTCTGTCAGGTATTTTAAGAAGTCAAGGCAGAATCAGCAAAGTGATGCTCCGGTGCCGTGTGAGCTGAGAAGAGGCAGCTGACCTCCTATTCGGGGCTGACCTCGGATTCGCTTGGCTCTGATAGAAGGCTTAGTTTTTTGGGCAATGTACTACTATGCTGTGATCATGATGTAATGATGTGTGGTGTAAATAAACTAGCACACCTATCGTATTTGCCTAGTACAGATAGAGGGCTGCGTTTTTTTATTGTTTTAAAAAATAGATTTAGTCCGAATGGTTTGCATGGGTAACTGGGTTCATAGTACCTGCTAAACATAGCTTGTTGCGTGCACCGTGAACCCACCATCCAAGTCGTACCGCCCAGTTCAACGGATAATTTTGCCACCGCCCTTGCGCCAGACAGGAATGCGGAGGGTTTTACGTGCCGCACAATGCTGCTACACGACCGCCCCCGGGCCTGGGTTGACCCTTGTTGGCCAGTTGCCAGCTGACCTTTTTCATTTCAGTCGGGCCAAACGATGCGCCCCCTTTGGGATTCACATCCAGTGCCGCTGGATTACGAGTCCAGCATCTTTCCCTTAGACCACAGTGGCGGCGTTAGGGGCAAAGATTGAAAAGTGCGTGTTTTTTAAATTGGCCCAATACTTCTTGGATTTGTGCCAGGAAAAAACCCACTAGCGGTGGGCACGTGGAGATGAGAACGTCATAAACGAGAAAAGTGGATCACAAATCAATTGCTGATCACTTTCCAGAGAAGATATCAAAGAGGCTTCAAGAAGACGTCGTAGGCTTTTCTGTCCTCGCCATACAGTAGGGACCATAGGCGCAATCCTCGTTTTTCAAAAAATGTAATCTTGAGGACTATCTCATTCGCCTTTTCAATAGACCGTGGTACCTCCATGCAAAGCATGGTGCAATGTGACCAGGAAGTTACTGGTCAAGGTCTCAGGGGATGTTCGAAGTCCCCGAGACGGTCATATGAGTTCTGGACGGCTGAGCGGCTGGAAGACGACCAACGGGTAAAAACCCAAGGATACGAGGCGATCGCCGAAGCCCGAAACGTTCGTCGGGCCGTGACTTCACAGGAAGGTAAGCCAAGTCTCTTTCTTCATGGGCAATTGAAACTTAACTAGCTTGTTCGTGTAGTCCTGTTCGACACGCGACGTAGTTGTGTGATTCATCCGCGACGCCACTGCTAAAGTCTATTTTCGACCACGCTGAAAGGCGAAGAAAGTGCGGTAAATTGTGTTTGTTTGCAAAACGGTGCCCAGGAAATCGCGCCGCTTGCTGACAGTCGTGTATATCGATCAAATGGGAGATCATCAATATTAATGTTTTTAACTACACAACCTGTCGATAATTGTGCAGCATAAATATGATCGCATTCGCTTACAATGCATGTATGTGGGTACTGACAGTGGTGCAGTCACGGGACTCAGTCATGGGTACCGGCAGTGGTGCAGTCACGGGACTCGACCACGGGTACCGGCAGTGGTGCCGTCACTGAACTCGGCCATGGGTATTGGCAGTGGTGCCGTCCCTGAACTCGACCATGGGTACCGGTACTGGTGCAGTCACTGAACTCGGCCATGGGTACCGGTAGTGGTGCAGTCACGTGGCCTGGCCATGGGTACCGGCAGTGGCGCAGTCACGGGGTTTGGCGATGACCTACAACGGCATGCACCGATCAAAGCAGATCCCGCCTATCCCGCAAATCCTGCCTATCCCGCATGTGTCTATAACACGGCTGCTGCCCTGATCTGGCTGATTTGATCTCGTCGCCCCAGAGACAGCGTCTTACTCAATGCTGGCCATATGTCGCACCGAATGCTTGCAACTTAACAGAGACCTATTTGAAATCATTTTGGCCGTACGCACGTCATCACTGTACGAACACTATTGGCTGGCGATCTAAATGGCCCACCGGCAGACACGACCTTTACTGTTCAAATCAACCCTCGACTGTGCATTGCGACCGGACTGCTCGCGCAACGGCCGCCGTGAAAATAACAACCAGGAAAAATGCAAAAAATCGTGCGCGAGCAGTGTGGCTGTGAACCATTCCATTGCACTGATATGGGGATATGAGGTGCCAGTTCAGCACAATTGTCCGGTCATGGTTTCCATTTTATTAGCTCGACTCTCCGACGGCGTCTCGCTCATTGCTGGCAGCCAGCCGCACCAAAGCTCTGCAAAGGCATGTCGCCAAATCTACGCTAGCTCTGTTCTGAGCGCCGGGTGAAACCATGCGCCCACGGTGTCGCTGTCAGAGCACTATGTGACAGCAATGTTAATCGATCATCGACCGACGTGA